AAAAAAAAAACTAAATCAATAGAATATATATATATTTTTTTGGTCAGTTACAAAGTTGTAAAATGGATATTGTAGATCAAGATGCAGTAGTTGTACAATCATATGTTCAGGAATTATATTTGCAAGTGATTGAAAACTACAGATTGGAATATGATTTTGGAAAAATGAATATTGCTGATTTGAGAACAAAAGTATGCTAGGAGAATAGATTGAGAATGTTTATATTGAACAGAAAAAGACCTAGATTTCCAAAGCCAATTAGAAAGTCAATCTCCAAAAGGAAAAAAAGTGTTTAATATTAGAACTTCATATAATTATTATCTAGAGAGTAAATGATTTTAATCTATATCTTTGTTGTGTTAGTTTGTTTTCATTATCTACCAACTATAAATTGATGTATCAACAACATACGAAGTACAAAGCAAAATGGTCCATGATAAAGTTCCAAACGAAAGTAATTGGCTTCTTTATTTTGTATATTAGATAGCTGTCAATGTTTTTTTTGACATATATGAAATAGTTGTCAAATAAATCAATCATATTATTATTATTTTGAATTCCAGGTGAGACATCTAAAAAGCAGAAACAACGTGTATCGAAGACAAAGAAAGGTTCAATAAGTTCTTTTAATGCTTCTGTAAATATAAATGAGATATGCCGGGAAAATAGAATAAAGAGAATGTCTAAATTGAAAAGGAAGAGAGGTAAGAAATATCATATCAGTGGATATTTATGTTTTCTTGATTATCCTAAATTAAATTGGCTTACTAAATGTATGTTTTCCAGGTGTTTCTCCATGTGTAGATCTTAATTCTAATATTACAATTTCTCATGCAAAACAATACAGTCATGAGTTTTCAATTTGATGACATACATCTAACCATTAAGTTTGTTATATTTTAAAAACATAATATTATTTCATTGCACCATGGAAATAAAGGTGTGGAATTTTGGTTTTGGTGAACCTTTTTTAATTTAAATTGCAAGTATTGTTGAATATTGTGATAATCTTATTTTTATTATTTTCAATTCTAGGTCACACATTGAAAAAACAAAAGAAATATGTATCAAAGACAATTAGAGGTTCAAAATCTTACTCAACTAACTTGGAAAATACAAATAAAATATACAAAGGAAATAGGAGATCTAGAAGATCTATACCGACAACAAAAAGAGTTAACAAATATCATATTCTTAGTTAGATATGTTTAAATCTTAACTCAAATATAAAAGTTACTTGGGCAAAAGAATATCATTGTAGGTTTCCAAATTAACAGTACACATCTAAGCATTAAGTTTATTACTTTCTAAAATATTACATTATTTCTTTGTATAGTGGAAAAAGAGCCCTGGAACTTTGGTGAACCATCCTACAATTCCATTCATTGTGGAGCAGTTATGTGGTATGAAGAGCAAACTATTAACAACAAAAACCCAACAATTCCTTTGTTTTCATTATGTTGTATGGATGGCAAAGTTCAGTTACCGTTATTGAAAGAACTGCTTGAACCATTAAAGGGATTGTTGGATGTAGTTAGTGGTAATAAAGGGATTAGGTTCAGAGGCAATATAAGAATAAACAATTCATTATTCTCATTTACATCAATGGGAGGACAAGTTGACCATGATATTAACCAAGGGGGTGGTCCATACATTTTCAAACTTTGCGGCCAGAATTACCACCGAATAGGATTGTTGCTACCACCTGAAGGAAAGAAACCTAAGTCTGTGCAACTTTATATTTATGACACGGAGTATGAAACCAGTCATATTAAATTCTATGTCAGGTAATACAGGTGATGGTACCCTTGACAGGGAATTGGTGCTAGAATTGCAATTGATGTTTGATATGAACAATGAATTGATTAAAAGTTTTTGCTTTGCAAGAATCATATGCATTCAAATGATATTACAAATATGCATTTGTGATTAAAAATGAAAAGGGAAAAAGATGGAAGACAATACAATTTTCCAATTGCATTTGAAATTGCAGGTTTAATTATTGGTGATATTGGAATTTTGGAAACTGGAAAAGATGTCATCATTTATCATTCAAAAATAGGTCTTCAAAGGATTTTTGACTTGCATCCAAGTCTCATGACATCAAATTATCCAATATTATTCCTATACGGAGAAGATGGATACAGGATTGACATTAACCATAAGGAGTTTCCGGACAAAAAGCCTTCAAAGAGGAACAAGCTAACCATGAGAGAATATTATGCATTTCGATTGCAGTATAGATTGTATGAAGGGCATACTTTAATGAAATCTGGTAGATTATTATAGCAATATATTGTAGATGCATATTTGGCCATTGAAGATGAAAGATTTCGTTGGATTAGAAACAACTAGCAAAAATTAAGGAGTGATTTGTACAGCAAATTGATGGATGCTATTTCAAAAGGTGACGTTAATGCACAACATCTAGGGAAATCTACATTAATTACTCCCTTCATCTCATATTGGCAGTCCCTGATATTGTGTTTAGAATTAGCAAGATGTAATGGCAATTTGCAGATGTTTTGGATATCCAAATATTTTTCTGACATTCACCTGTAATCCCAAGTGGCCAAAAATACAATATCTATAGAATTCTATTGGACAATGTGATCAAGAAGGTAGAGTAACTGTAGTTTGCAGAGTTTTTGAGTTCAAATTGCTTGAGCTGATGCAAGAGATAAAAATAAATCAATATTTTGGTGAAACTATCGTAAGTAAGTAATCTGATGAATAATATTTCTGCTTCCTTTAAAAATTTTGGTTCATTAATCATTTATAAAATCAAATTATACTATACCAACTGTTGCTGAACATGTTATAATATTTTTCTCAGTTATCTATAATATTGAGTTCCAAAAGAGAGGCCTCCCACATGCTCATATATTGGTTTTTCTTGAACCCGAATATAAGAATCCTCTAGCATTCAAAATAGATGAAATAGTTTCTGTTGAAATACCAAATAAGGAAATTGATCCTGTTGGCTTTGCAGCTGTTGAGAACCACATGATCCACAGTCCATGTGGTGATCTTAACAAGAATTCATGATGCATGGAGAAAGGCAAATGTAAAAAACATTTTACAAAGTAATTTGTCAATTAAACATATGTGGATGACGACGGATACCCAATGTATAGACGATAGAATAATGGAGCATTTGTTGAGAAAAAAAGGTATCAAACTAGATAATTGTTTTGCTGTTCCTTATAATAGGAATCTATTGGTTAAGTTTGATGCCCACATGAATATTGAAATATGTAATCAACATAGATCAATCAAGTATCTATTCAAGTATGTCAACAAAGGGCTAGACAGAATTACAGTTTCTGTGGAAATTGAAAACGACAGCCAACAGAATAATCAATGTAAGATTTTACAAGAGAAAGATGAAATAAAAGCTTATCTTGATTGTAGGTATGTATAAAATGCATCAAATATAATGTTTTTATATTGTTTGTTGATATTTGTTATAAATATGATATTAATTAATTCAATCAAAAACATTACAGATATATCTTTTCTATGGAAGCTTGCTGGAGGATATTTTAGTTTGACATGTATTACAGAGAACAAGTTGTTGAAAGATTTCCATTCAACTTAAAGAAGGAACAAACAGTTATTTTCGATCCAAATAAGAGTTTGGATAACTTTTGGAAAGCAAAGTTTTTATGCAAACTAAATTAATTGAATGGATGAAGTGTAATCAAGGATAGGTTTGGAACAATACAGAAAGATAATGGTCTCCACAAACAAATGGAAGGTTTATTGGTAAGGTGTATTTTGCATTCCCAAGTAGTGGTGATAAATATTATTTGCAAATGCTTCTGAACTTAGTAAGAGAAATGACATCATTTGAAGATATTCAAACTATCAATGGAGAAATATTCACTACATTCAAAGTGCATGTTATGCATTAGGGTTGTTGGATGATGATAAACAGTGGAATGATTGTTTAGATGAAGCACCAACATGGGCTACCGAAAGGCAGTTAAGACAACTCTTTGTAACTATTCTTTTATATAATGAAGTGGTAAGTCCAAGAGACTTGCGGATAGCAAATGCAGAAAGGCTATTTGAAGATATTCCCTACATTCTTAAACAAAAAATGTAGATAACAAAATTGAAATACACTAAGAAACAAATTCAAAATCATGCATTGTTTGAGGTTGAAGACTTGATTAAAAAGGGAGGAAAATCCTTGGCTAATTTCCCTGGAATGCCAATTCCAAACCATTCTGTTTTTGAAAATTCACATAATAGATTAATTGCTGAAGAATTAAATTATGACATCGACAACATCATAACACTACACAATTATTTATGCAAGGGTCTTAACAATGGCCAAAGACGCATATATGACTCAGTTAACAATCAAAGAGGAACACCATTCTTTGTTTATAGGCATGGTGGAACAAGCAAAACCTTCATATGGTCAACAATCATGGCAAAATTAAGGTCCGAGGGTAAAATTGTTATGGTTGTGGCTACACCAGGAATTGCTGCTACTCAATGGAAGAACGACACATTCACATTTCCAAATACCTTTAGATATCACTAAGGAAAGTACATGTGATACTAAAAAGGGGACACAATTGGCAAAACTCCTTCAGCAAACAACTTTGATAATTTGGGATGAAGCACCCATGGCAAATAGGAATTGCTTTGAAGCTCTTGACAAAACTCTAAAAGATATTTTGTCTAAAAAAGATCAATCAAATGTAGATAGAATATTTGGAGGCCTCACTATTGCCTTGGGTGGCAATTTTAAATAGATTTTACCAGTTATTCCAAAAGGGAAAAAACATGACATATTACAGGCTTGTTTATCATAATCTTCCCTTTGGGAACATGTAACAGCATTGAGACTTAGGAAACCAATAGAATTGGATGACTTGAACACTTTTGACAAACAATAAGACTACACATATATCAATCCCTTATAACATGACATGGTATCTATGTGGCAGATGCCATCTGCCACGTCAATCCCCTTCAAAAATTTAAAAAAAAAAAAAATTTCCTTACAAACCTTGGGTTCAAATTTCATTTTCCTAGAGCAAATCCTAAATCAATTCCGTTTTCCCTAAAAATTTTCCCAAATTTCCTTTCAATTTTTAGAACCCTAGCCACCACATTCCCCAATCTCAAGCGAACCACAGCCGCACCAAGTCGACCTCCTCGCCAACTCTGTTGGGGATTCATCCGTAAGGTCTATGGAATTTTGACCACCTAGATCGTGTTGACCGCTTTGGTTTCCTCCGTCACCGTTCTTTACTCTCCCATCAAAGACCTCCTTAGGGACAATTCCGGCCTTCTCCTTTTCCTCTCCCTCCTCCCCTTCATCCGTACGTTCATATCCCTTATGTCCCTCTCTCTCTGTCTTTTATTTTTTTTTAAATTCTGATTACTTTTGCTAAATATGATTCATGAATAGATATGGAGGGAATTTAACTCTATCCATTTCTTTATTTATTCATTTCATTACATGAACATGAACATGTGTCGAGTTTGGCTATTTATCTCTGACTGTATCTCTGGTCTTTTTTCTTTGAATTTTAGATCCTGCTGCCAGCGCAGATCTTGTTTTGGTTTAGGGTGCAGGAAGGATTAACTCACAGCTTGCTTATTGGTAATGAAATGTAAGGCTAGGTCATGAAATTTCATTATTGAATCCCAAAAACGAAATTCGTAGACTAATTTCTAGTTCCTTGCTTGAATTGTATGCAGGGTAAGCTCTGCTTCCTTTAATTCTTCCAATTATATACTTCATTGCCTATTAGAGAAATTCTTCTATGGCAACATCATTGATTGATGGAGAATCAAAGCCAAAGCATGTGCTTCTCTTTGACATAAAGGTTTTTATTGTAAAAAAACAACCTTAATTTGTCTTTTTAACTGGAGGTATCGTTGTTTCATTTGTTTTCACTATGTTGAAATTCATACATTCTAGTATAGGTTCGTTTGTTTGTTATTTATGGGTTTTGATTTTATTTTATTAACTGTTAGGTGTTTGAAGAAATGTTAGCAATTGTGGATGTTCGCAATTGTGGGTATTTGGGTTACTGGGGTTACCATAGCTAGCTGGGTATGTCTTTAAATGCTTTTTATTTATTTTGTCTTTTGTTGTTGTTATTGAGTTATTGGTGTGTTTTGATTGCTGGGTTTTTTTGTTTAATTGAGTAATTTGGGTTTTTGTTTATGAGGTGGGTTGAAACTGAGCTTCTTTGGTGTAATTTGGGTTCTTTGTTACAGGGCTTGGTAAAAATTAAGATTTTTTTTAAAGGTTTCATAGAGAGATTTAAAAGAAGATTGCTGACAAATCAAGATCAAATTACCATTGCTCAGAGTTAAGGTATTTTACTTTATTTTACATTTGGGATTCTTCCACATCTTTTTCATAGCCCCCATCTCAAGCGTTTCTACAGTCCTAAACTTAAGGAATTGTTAATTTTAATTAGTCAGATATCTTGTAAATTTTATCCTTACATAATGTAGGAAATCTTTTTAATTTAATTGAACAATTGTTGCTATTGCACTGCTAGCAACAATATTTACACAAGTGCATTATTGTTCATAATTTATTGGGTATCCACATTAGATTATGAAAAATATATATCTAATTTCTACTCTCAGATCTAGGGAATTTCGACCGCTTGAATATACTTTGCATAGTAGTGCTCTCCATTTTACAACTATGACTTCATTCTTGTTATGCATTCGCTTTTCAGGTAGGATTGTGCTCGAAGCACTAATTCTAACCTCAGTTGTAGTGTGCTCTTTAATTGAGTACAGTTTATAGGCCTCTAACAAGGACAAGGACTTCAGCTTCTTTGAACCAATTATATTCACCAGCCTCATTATCCTCTTCCTGACTGCTTTATGTGGGTATGGGATCTTGATTCCTTATAAAATTACCGGGATTACCCAAAAAATAAAAAGAAAAATAGTAAAGCAATGTATTGGATTTTGTTAAATGTTCAATGTGGATCTTGATTCTTTTTTTTTTTTTTCTTTGATTTTGTTAAACATTATCACAGGTCATGATAATGTTTGACTTATGTGTTCAAAGTTAAAATTGGAGTAATTAGATTGGTTCAATTTTGTTTCCTTGGTTACTTTGATCTAATTTCTTCCGTGAGTTGACAAATCAACTCTAATATGAACATGGATGTTTTCTTGGCTTTAGTTGATAAATCAACTCTAATATGAACAATCTAGTTAATCTTAGTTTTCCACTTATTTTCCTTTTTTTTTATTATCTGATGCATGTCTTTTTTCTGTTGCAGTCTTTCTCCAGCTTGCCGGATAGCTTGGCCAGTTTCTGTTGCAGTTGCAGAATTTGAGAAGCTACAGTCTTTCTCTAGTTTGTGCAGAATTTGAGAGGCTGCTGAATTTGAAAAATTCAGAATTTGTGCAGTCTTTCTCCAGTTGATGAATTTGAGGAGCTGCAGAAAAGCTGCTGTTTAGGATGGAACTTGTTAAATTGGACTTGCTATCTAGGATGTTAGGATGGAATTTGAGGATGTTAAGACTTAGGATGGAATAGTCTGTTTAGGATGAAACTGGAGAAAAAATCAGCTGTGATGATATCTTTCATGAACTTTTATTTTCTTTCATGTGATTAAATATGGTTTCCATATATATATTTGCACATAATTAGTAATACAATTCAAAATTCACACTTGTTTTTCTATTTGTTCTTTTTGGTGCCAGAGAGAAGCCAACTTTTCCTCATGAAACTGTGATGGTCAAAATAATGTGTTATCTGTTTTTAGTTAAGTGCAAACATTAAAAATCTAGGTTTTTTTTTTTTTTTGGGGTAAACCCACTAATTTTATTTAAAAATAAAAGAATTACATCCTAACAAGGGGACTCCCTTTTATAGCTAAGAACCTTGGACATGCCCAAGGGATCGCACTACAAAAAAAGAAACAAGAGCAACCAAGGATATATAATCCTTATACACAAACAGTAAGACAACACAAGACATAACCAAACTGAAGACCTGCTAAAAATGCAGAATCACGCTGCAGCTCCATACACACCACTGTCCAGATCACTACTGTAATTCCAGCACACACCACCCTGCACATACTGCCCAAGATTCTTGTAAACTGCAGAAAAAACTGCAACCTGCACACCTGCTCAATCTGCAAATTGCAAAAACTACAACATGCCCAAGCTTGATATCCAACACCTACCAATCTGCACCAGCTGCACAAAAATCATGGCCTATACATAAAATGCAGCAATCTAAAGTAACAATGCATAGCCACAGTAACTTCCTGACAATCCAACTGAAGTTTGGGCTGCCTCTATTACCTATTGAGACCAACCCAATTATATAAAGAACTATCACAAGCTTTAAAGTACAATTCTAAAATCTAAGCTTCATGTAAATGTTCAGAAAAATATTGATAGGCATACCAATTGCAAATTTAAAGCAAAAGCCATTATATTGAACAAGATTTTACCCTTTGACTTTTTGAGCATATCAAGAAGTCTTTGACAATAGAAGAAAATAAATATGAAGCAAATCACATCCACATAAGTTCAACTATTGAGGCAAAGCATGGAAGTTCATCAGATAGCACAAACCAGTAACTAAACCAATCAGCATGCAGCAAAAAACATATCTATTGACTAACATTTAGGTTAGCAATAATTCAATAAAAAATTAGAAATAAATACCTGCATAGCACCACCTAGACCATTTGTTTCTGTATCATTACTGGTTATCTGATTCACATCATCATGCTGCGAATCAAGCTCAGGTTAAGCTCCCCCAAGAGAACAAAAGCCCCTGGCTCCAACAGCAAACAAGCCAAACACTAACACAGTACCTTAACCCCAGCAAGCCAACAACCAACCGATAACCTCACCCCTCCCCTCACATCCTGCCCTAGCCCACCCACTCCAAGCCCTCCCCCTCCCTCTTAAGCAGACTCCACAACTCACCACATATGAGAACCCCACACCCATTACCTCCCACCAGCCCCCAAGAGAAATTCCTTTTAGAAGAGCATCACTGGAATAAACAAAGCAAAAGTATATATGTATCTATACACATGTATATATTTAGAGAGAGAGAGAAGACCTAAGCCACCGCCGAGAGATTGATGAATAGATAAGCAATGAGTATCTGCCATGGGTATGAAGGTTTTAGGGTTTCTGATTGAAACTGCAATGTACGGAAAGGGAGGGAAGAGGGTGACGAGCTGGTGCAACTATGGTGCGACTGAGATTGGAGAATGTTGTGGCTAAGGTTTTAAAAATTGAAAGGAAATTGGAGAAAATTTTTAGGGTTTTGTGTTTCAGGGAAAATGAAATTTGAAATCAAGGGTTGTAGAATTATTATTTTTTTTTTTAATTTTTGGAAGGAATTGATGTGGCACTTAGGTGATGTGGCAGATGGGGTTGCATTTGCTACATTGGATGCCATGTCATGTTGTAAGGGATTGATGTATGTATAGTCTTATTGTTTGGCAAATGGTTACTTGATATTGGAGAAGGAAGAGATGTTGTAGAAGATGAAAGTTACATCCAAATTTCTAAAGATTTGAAGGTCACTCAACATACTAGTCACGAAGAAACAATTATGAATGCTGCTTTTCCAGATTTAACTGCTCAGATAAATAATGTTGACTATATCAGAGAGCGAGCAATATTGACACCTAAAAATGAGACAATACATACATTGAACGACTATATCACTTAGAGCTTGCCATCAGATGGAAAGACATATCTCAGCTCAAACAGCACTCATAAAGCAGTAGGTATCTCAAATGATGATGACATTCTCTATCCAATTGAATTTCTTAATACTTTGATGTGCTCCAGAATGTCCAAACATGAATTGCATCTGAAAATTGGCATTCCAATTATGTTACTACATAATTTAAATCAATCTGATGGTCTTTGCAATAGAACCAGATTGATTATAACCCATTTAAGAAAGTGGTGCATACGAGCAATGATTATTATTGGGTCAAATATTGGTGATACCATTACGATTCCCAAAATAATAATGTTGAATGCAGATATGAAGTGGCCTTTTAGGTTGAAGAGGAGGCAATTACTCGTAGCAGTTAGCTTCAGTATGACAATAAACAAAAACTAGGGTCAATCACTCAAAATGGTAGGATTGTACATGAAACATCAGGTCTTTACACATGGTCAATTATACGTTGCACTATCAAGAGTAACTTCAAGACAAGGCATCAAGATACTATTGGCCTAGGAACAAGATGAACTAGCAAACACATTGACAAATATTGTTTTCAAAGAAGTGTTTAACTAAAGGGATTGATATGTTGTATATAATATAACTCATTGTTTATAACAGAAGGGATTCGTACATTTTATATTATATAACACATTGTTTATGAGAAATTAATGTGAAAGATTAAAGATATTTATACGAATGAATAAAAATAGGTTGATAAACACTTCTCACAAACGCTAATGTGACAGCTCGCATTTTGTCAGGCAGGACCCATGGTGAGCTAACCAATTTTGAGTTGACACGTCGTGTTTGTGAGAGAAAGTTAGTGAGAAGGGTTTGTGAGTGTAGTATTACTGTTATGTGAATATGAAAATGTCACATTAAATGTTTAAATATATACAAAAACATAAGTTTCTCAATACAAAGATATTGATACGTTTTATATTATCATTGTCAAATACGATGAATGATACATTATATGTGTTATGTGTTATAAATACATTTTTTTAAAATATGCAAAATTAACATCAATTAAATACATCCACATCCATAATAATAACCCAACTACAATGCGTGACAAACATTGTCAAGATATTTAACAGTAATAGTAAAATTAAACAGTTTAAATATTTATAGAATTAGCATTACATGGACTAGAGAAAGGTACAATAGCATTACAGTCAATATAATCTCTATTAGATGGCATCTTCTCATCCTTCAACACAACTTTCTCTAAAAAACTAGAGTCTTCATTTGGAAATCTTACCTTAAATTCTTTCACACAAGCTTCTCCGGCGGCCAAAAACATATCTGACCTTGAATCAAAAGCTTCTTCTCTGTCTTTCTCAGCTTGTGCAAGTAAAGATTTGATCTTATTATTTTCATCAAACAATTCATTACTTTTATTTTTAAAGATTTCCTTTTGTTGCCGCTCATTTACAAAAGATTGTTTAGCATTACTAAATGATTCTTGACAGTGTTTCAATTCGGTTTTTACCTTTTCAAACGCCTCCTTCGATACCTTCATCTGTTCTTCAAATTTGTGAACCTCAGAAATCACATCTTCATTTTCGTTTTTAAAATTTGAGATCACATCTTCTGAAACAAGCCAATGCTCTTGATTTCTAACAAACCTTTGTAAGCCTATTCCAAAAACAATGAAACCACATTAATGTCACAATGCTAAATAGATTATATATGCAATTACACATTTAATAAAGTAAAAAAAAAATTACTTGTTTCCCGAGACTAAATGTTGTCCTATTTAGATCTTCTTTAGAAAGAGTGTTCCAATTCTGTTCAGAATTCGTATTTGGACCCTCTTGCTAACAAGTTTTATGCCACTTCACCAATTTACATAATTGAATTTCTTCAGAGTCATTACCTTCTTCTTCAATCAATTCAACATGGTAGGAACCAGAATCAGGTTTCACAGAATTGGAGACTGATGCAGGTAAACAGAAGTCTGCAATGGCGTTAACAATTTTGACTTGGAATCACTGCTTGATCCTCCTTTATATAGTACTTCAAAATCAAGCCTTTGAATAAATTTCATCAGATTTTTAGGAGCATTACTACAATTAAAAAATAAAATTTCATTAGATTAAAAAAAAAAAAAAACAAAATAAAACACATCATCAATCAACTTAATAGAAATTGTAATGCTTCATTATTGCTTGGAACACATTTGTTCTTCATGAAATGTGATAGAGACACAAGATTACAACTACTGATTGCAAACAAAATAACATGCAAGCATTATATTAGACTGCTATTAATCTACTCACCATATATGGCAGTACAAGTATAAAAATTCTAATGAAATTAGTAAAACAACAAAATCATTTCCTCAAAATGAAATTTGCAGGGAAGTTTCCAAATCCATGACTCCAATTGCGACAATTTTCATTAAAACAAGAATATTTCTGACTTACTACAAGGAAGACCAAAACCTTATACACTGAGACAGATCAACATCACCACAAAATATCACATGCCAAAGATGTAATGTAAATAGATATTGCTTTATGTGTTTAACATAAAAAACATATGGCATTTCCTTTCACTATAAAAAACAAGTTACAAACATTTGATATACATTCCAAAAGCAAAGAAAAATTAATACACCGAAATTATAGAAATTTTTCAGACAAAAAAATTAGTACCAACATACGTCTAAGTTTTCCACATACTAAATAGATAATAAATGGTAACAATGCAGGTAACTTCTAAAGGATTTGTACCATAGACATTTCATAACATCAATTTATAAAACAATGAGAGTATTACAAGCTATACTAAATACAACAAGATAATAAACAAAATGATAATGAATAAAATGTAGTATAACCAAATTTAATGTAAATTGGTGAAGTGGCAGAAAACTTGTTAGCACAACCATCTAACAACAACTTCTTACGATTGTGAGAACTCCATAAGAATAAAATGT